GTCACCTGGGGAGCGGCTGGGGGGGTACAGCCCAGGGCTGGTGGGACAGTGGTCACAGGGGTTGTTGGGGAGGCTGGAGGGGTCCAGCCCGGGGTTGGTGGGCCAGTGGTCACCGAGGGGGCAGGGGAAGCTGGGGGGGTCTGGCCCGCGGCTGGGTTGGAAGGGTACAGAGGGGAGGCAGGGGGTGCTGGGGGAGTGGGGGGGGCGGCAGAGAGATGCCAGCAGGGTGCCAATGGCCTGGCTTCAGAGGGATGGGTCGGGGGAGGAAGGAGGGAGAGCAGGGCGATGACCCGTTTTGCCGGGGGCGGGGGTGGGGGGCTATGGGCCTGGCTTGGCGTCTGGGGCCGGGTTGGCTGGGTGTGATTAGGTCGGGGAAGGGGGTGGGAGCTGTCTTGAAGGGGACTGGGCTCGTCAAGGGGGCCTGAGAAGGGCGGGGGGCAGGCGCAAAATCGTTTGGATGGTGCCTTAAGCCGGTCTCCTCCAGTGCCCTCTGCGTGCCTTTTCCATCCCGCGTGGAGGCGGAGATTGCCTGTGGGTCCCTGGCCCCAGATGCCGAGCCCCACAGAAAGGCTGTCGAGAAGCAGCTGACAGTGAGCGGCAGCGTCCTGGCCGTGTAAGTTCTGGAAGGGGGCCCGGTGGGAGCTGCAGCAGGTAGCAGGCCCGGTCTCCACAGAAGGGGCGCTCAGCTGGACACACCGAGACCCTCCGTGAACGGTTACTTCCAGGGACAGGGGTGGGGGAGGCTGTCTCGGCCTGCACCTGCAGCCTGGCCTGGGGTATAGGGAGGTGCCTTCATGGGGATGTCGGGGTTGGTGGGCTGGATTTGGGGCGGGGGGGCGGCAGAGCAAGGAAGGGGAGGAGCTTCAACCCCCAACTCGGTTGTCTTTTCTGCTCCCTTTCAGCCACTGGAGGGCTGAGGATCCTCGCCTCCTGCGAATTTCCGTCCTCAACTTCCTGGACCACCTTTCCCTGGTGATGCGGACCATGCGGCGCTTTGGGCCCCCCGTTTCCCGCTAAGCTTGGGCCGGGGAGAGGGGCTGAAGTCTAACGCGTCCCTCCCCGGGGACTGCGTCCTTCCCGGGACAGTGACTCCTGTCGTACCAGCTGCCACTGTGTTAGGAGGGCCTAATCCTCGGCCGCTACCGGCCCCAGGGCACTCAGGGCCCGTTTGTTTTGTTTTGTTTGCCGCTTGAACGTTTCTCAGTGCAGACAATTAAACGGAGCTGTGCGGTTGGTTCCCTGTCTGGGCTTATTTTCCACCATGGCACCGCCTCCAGAGGGTCTTCCCTTTGTCCTCGGGGAAGCGGAGGGGAGGTTCTGGGATGTAGATAGGGAGGCATGAGAGCTGACTGAAGACAAACGATGGAGGAAATGGGAGAACACGGCTTCTGTCGTCCTCTGTCCTTCTCTGTCCTTCACTGTCCTTTGCTGTCAACGGCTCTCCGCTCGGTGGAATGTGTCCTTGGTTTTTTCCTTGTGTTTATATGCTAAACAGAGAATAATGAAGAAGGGTAAAATTTTGCGCGTTTCACATGTCTCCGGATGTTTTCCCCATCGAATGTGAACTTTTCCTCTATGAAAACTCGGAGTGCATTCTCGAATAGATGCATGAAAGATGCGTTCTAATGTAATTACTGAACTTTTAAATTCTCTTCAGCTTTGCCGATGAGAGATGGTGAGTCAGTGGAACTCGGGTGTAAAATCTTTGTATGAATCATGCTTCCTTAAGATACGTTAATAGAGGCAGAATTACTTGGTTAAATGTTTATTATTTTTTTCTATGTTTTTTTAAGATTTAATTCATTTGTCAGAGAGCACAAGCAACAGGAGAAGCAGGCTTCCCACTGAGCAAGGAAGCCCGATGCGGGGCTCCAGCCCAGAATCCTGGGATCATAACCTGAACAGAAGGCAGATGCTTAACCAACTGAGCCACCCAGGCATGCCTATTTACTGTTTTAGGATTTTATTTATTTAGTTCAGAGTACAAGTGAGGGAGACAGACCAGGGCAGAGGGAAAGTGCCCAAATATTACTTTTTTTCTAAAGATTAATTTTTTAAAAATTAAAATAGAAAATTACTATTTTTATTAGTGAGAGAGAGGGGTTGGAGGAGGAGAGAGAAAGACAGAATCTCAAGCAGAGTTGCTGCTGAGTGTGGAGCCCAAATGCGGGGCTCGACCCCACAACCTTGAAACCATAACCTGAGCCGGAATCAAGAGTCAGACGCTCAACTGACCGAGCCACTCAGGCGCCCTGCTATTCTTTTTTTTTTTTTTAAAGATTTTATTTATTTATTTGACAGAGATCACAAGTAGGCAGAGCAGCAGGCAGAGAGAGGGGAAAGCAGGCTCCCCACTGAGCAGAGAGCCCGATGCGGGGCTCGATCCCAAGACCCTGGGATCATGACCTGAGCCGAAGGCAGAGGCTTTAACCCACTGAGCCACCCAGGTGCCCCGCCCGGCTATTCTTTTAAAACTCTGACTCAACAGGGCAAAATTAGGGGTGCCTGGGTGGCTCAGTTGGTTGAGCATCTGCGTTTGGCTTAAGTCATGATCCCCAAGTCCTGGGATGGAGCCCCGCATAAGGCTCCCTGCTCAGCGGGGAGCCTGCCTCTCCTTCTGCCCCCTGCGCCCTCTGCTTTGTGCACACTCTCTGACAAATAAATGAAATCTTTAAAAAAAAAAAAGTGTAAAATTACTCTCCAGAAAATGCACCCTCCTGCCAGAATACAGGTTTTCCACCTTATCACCACTGGCTCTCTGGCCAAGTTTTTAAAAAATTACTCTGGGGATGCCTGTGTGGCTCAGTTGGTTAAGCATCTGCCTTCCACTCAGGTCATGATCCTGGGGTTGTGGGATCGAGTCCTGCATCGGGCTCCCTGCTCAGCGGGAGTCTCCTTCTCCCTTTGCCTCTGCCCCTCCACCCTACCCCCTGCTCGTACTCTCTTATACTCTTTCTCAAATAAATAAATAAAATTTGTAAGAAAAAAATAGTTTGCATGAGAAGAGTAAGGAACCCAGAAACACTAGAATCAGAGCTTTATGGCTGACGGGACTTAGCTCAGCCATGAGGAGTGCTGGGACAATTGAGCTTTTAGGAAATATTGTGTCCTGCACACTTGCCCAGCCCAGGGGTTCTGGCAGTCCTTTGGTGGATGTCGTGGGACTTTCTCCATAGGTGATCAGGTTTCCTCAGGATAAACACAGTTTTACTTCTTCCTTTCCAAGCTGGGTACCTTTTTGTGAAGAATTTCTCTCCTGGTTGTAGGTTGGACTTTCCCTGCTTCTCTGCATGCCTGGTAATTTTAAAGATTTATTTATTTATTTTTTATTTATTTGACAGACAGAAATCACAAGTAGGCAGAGGCAGGCAGAGAGAGAGGGGGGAAGCAGGCTCTCCGCCGAGCAGAGAGCCCGATGCGGGGCTCGATCTCAGGACCCTGAGATCATGACCTGAGCCGAAGGCAGAGGCATTAACCCACTGAGCCACCCAGGCGCCCCATGCCTGGTAATTTTAGATTGGATGCCAGATATGATTTCCCTTGGGTGCTGTATATCTTTGTATTCCTGGACAGATCTGTGAGCTTTAGTCTGAGATGCTATTACGTGACCACGAACAGTTTGATCCTTTTCAGCTTACTTTGAAGATTTGTTCTATGCACCAGAACAGCTCAATGTAGTGGTCATTTTCCCCCAACACTACTGAGGCAAGACCCTCTGGGTGGCCGGTCTGATGCCTCCTGAATTGTGAGCTTTGCCCTCCTGGCTGGTAGGGACAGCTGCTAGGTCCTGTCGTGCTCGAGCGCCAGACAAACTACCTTCCGTTCTTCAGATGGTCGTTACCCTAGCCTCCGGCAGTTCCCTCACGCACTGGCGATGATCAGTGGTCTGCAACTTACTCCAGCGGGACCCTCTGGGGATGTGCAGGCTTCCCTCCCTCCACCGCGCCCCACGCCCTCGGCCCTGCCAACTTGGGGTCCCCGGGCTTTCAGTCCCGTCTCCTAAACTAGGAGTGTCCATTGGGCTTCACCAGGAAATTTCCTCTGCAGACGATCGCAGGGCGCATCTGATTTCTCCCCGCCCAGAGATCGCTGTCCTTCATGCACCATACCTGCGTTCTTTACAGTGTGTTTCATCTAGTCTGTCTGGTTTGTGGGGCTCCTTCAATTGAAGCCCCCCAAAGTGGGTTGTAACTCCATCCTCTATTAGTCCGGATGCAAGAACAGAAAATCTGCCATTGTGGCACATGGAGACTGCCTGTGCTGCGTGCTTGGGGGGGGGGGGGGGGCGAACGGTGGGGGGGGGGGGGGGGGGTGGCAGGGGGACTGCGGTTGTGATGATGGTGACAACAAAGACTCGCCTAACAGCAGGCGACAGCAGGGGTCTGTCTCTGTCTTCCTTTTTAAAAATCATTTTTTAAAAGATTATGGGATGCCTGGGTGGCTCAGTCAGTTGGGCTGCTGCCTTCCGCTCAGGTCATGATCCCAGGGTCCGGGGATCAAGTCCCCCATTAGGCTCCCTGCTCAGCAGGAAGCCTGCTTCTCTCTCTGCCTCTGCCTGCTGCTCTGCCTGCTTCTGTGCTCTCTCACTCTCTGACAAATAAATACCTTTTTAAAAAGATTATATTTATTTTAGAGAAAGGGAATGTGCACACAAGCAGGGTGGAGGGCACAGAGGCAGAGTCTCAAGCAGACTCAGCACTGAGCGCAGAGCCTGACGTGGGGGTTCACCTCAGGACCCTGAGATCGCAACCTAAGCCAAAACCAAGCGTCACATGCTCCCCAGACTGAGCCACCCAGGCGCCCCTTCAAAATCAGTTTTAAGACTTTCTTGATTGATACATGAGAAATTTGCTCTTATACCGCTATCCACTCTGCTTCCCCTATTCATTCTCCCAGAATGGTTCTATTCTAGTCACTCACGGTTTCTTTCCCCCAAGGTTAAAAATTGACGCGTTTAGTCTTTCATTGGCTTAGTTCCCATAACCTCACAGGGGTAATGTTTGAAAACCATCTTCCTTGGCTTCTGTCTTCCACCTGCCTGCACAGCAGATGTCCCAGCACTTCCCTTCTCTGGGCTTGAAGCCTTATCCTAGATCAAGCAGCTTTCTCTTTACACTTTACCTCCCCTTTTTGTTTACTGTGTTTGATGTCAGATTTAGTGAGGTCTAATTTCCATCCTGTAACCTCCTCCTCTTCAGGCGTACAGGTCTAGGAGGTTTGTTTTGTTTTGTTTTGTTTTAAAGATTTTATTTATTTATTTGACAGAGATCACAAGTAGACATAGAGGCAAGCAGAGAGAGGAAGGGAAGCAGGCTCCCCACTGAGCAGAGAGCCCGATGAGGGGCTTGATCCCAGGACCCTAGAATCATGACCTGAGCTGAAGGCAGAGGCTTTAACCCACTGAGCCACCCAGGCGCCCCCAGGTCTAGGAGTTTTAACAAATGCAGTTTTGTAACCACCACAGTCCACGGCCTTGGCCCCACAGACGGACTGCTGAAGCTACTGGGTGGCGCCGACACCCAAGGCAGATCACCCAACTCTATCACCAACCCTCCCTGGGCTCCCCTCTGACTCAGAGACAAAGAGCCCTTTACAGTGGCCGACAGAGGGGGATGGGACCCAGCCCCCCTCATCTTCTCTGGCCTCCTCCCCTCTCCTCTCCACCTTGCTCCCTCTGGTCCAACCACACCCACCTCCTCTCCTCTCTCAAACAGGCCAGGCCCACCCCTGCCTCAGGGCCCTTGCACGGGCTCTTTCAGGTCTAGAAATCTCTTCACCCAGTGTTCCAGCTGGCTCACTCAAATCTCATTCCTGGCCAGTCTATTTGGAATTGCATCCCACTTCTTCCCCTCCTGCGTGACTTTAACAGGTGGAGGGGGCAGGCGGAGAAGAAGTAGGCAGGTGCTTTGGGCTGGAGGCGGCTGGGGCAGTAAAGCACTGTCCGATATGGAGGAGTCTGGGTGCTACCAATAACACTGGGGAGTTCTGCACAGAGATCCACTGCTGGCTTCTCGGGTTCCCAGGACCTGCTGCACTAAGACTAGAATGAGGGCAGGCAGGTGGGACAGAAGTGGGGAGACTGGGCATCCAGGCAGGAGCCCACGGTAGCTGGGACCTGGCTGGGGGCGTGGAGGTGGGGAGAAGGGAACAGATTCGGACAGGATCTTGAAGGGAGAGC